AGGGGCCTCTCCTGTTAATCCCTCAAGCTTCCTGGGCTACAGGACTATACTCCATCTTTCTGCTAGTTCAGTTCCAGGGTTTTTCCTGCAGTGATATTTTTTTGGGCTTTCAGAGGTTGATAAGGGAGGATGAGAGCGACTTACTTCTTATTCTGCTGTCTTGCCATTTTTTTTTTAAGGTGTGCCTTCTGGAGGCTAAACATCTTTCTATCTTCTATAAAATTCCAAAATGGCATTCTCCTTAAGTAAGGAAATATAGGTAGAGGCGAATTGGCCTTTGGACCTCTGCAGAGTTCCAAAGGACTTCTGTACTCAGAGGGAGCCATAGCTGGAGGTCAGGGAAGTGTAGGAGCCATGACTGAGGTCATGTGTAATGACTATCTAGAGAAAAGAATCTGAAGTACAATACGAGTTACATAATGGGAGACTTAAAGAAACTTCTGCCTTGACAGGAACCAGTTGTGACACTTCTTCAGAATTGTCCTGTTCCTTTATCTTTAAGGAATATATGACCCTATGCAACTATGAAATCCATGATGGAATGAATATAGAGTTTTCCTACCAACAGGAGAAGCAGCACTCACCCAACCCTGCATCCCTCATTTTTTCCCCCTATTTTTCACTAGTAGAGAATTTCTAACACTTCAAAAAAAGTCCTAGTTTCAAAGCACTATGAAATATTGATGGATTCAGTGGGTTGGGAGAAGAACATAGCTAAAGATTGAATAGCAGTCAGTATCAAGGATTGTAGATTATGTACTAAGATTGAATGGCAAATAGAGAATGCATGTGATGTAATGGAATAGTTAATGGTATGTTCTGTGAATAATGCCTGAATTCTGCCAGTCCACCAATGTTAGTCTGCCCAAAGGGAGCAATTCCTCATCAGGGACCATTTTAATGTCTCACTGTAAAGTCAAGTGGGATTTTCCTCTGGTGGTGGTCTTCTGTGTGTTTGAGAGCAATGATGATAAAGTAAAATGAAATCACCTCAATTCATAGGTTCATTCTTGTCAGCTACATTTTTGGACACTATGGCACATGCATGACAAGCATTTCAAATGATAAAAATAGATGTGTGAAATGCAATGGGTCTGATAGTTCTTGTAAGGTCACTAAATTTTCATTGGTCTGTATCTGGTGACATCTAGTAACTGAAGTTCTGCTTGATCAGTACATTGGGTAGTGAAGAATAGTAAGCAACATAAAGAGGTTCTACTGTAAGTTTTGAATACTTGCTTATGAAAATGTTGTATTTCTTTAAGTCTTATATTAATAATATGCATGGATTCTCAAAAGACAAAATGGAGGAGGATTAAAAAAAGCCTGGTTAGATACATGGCATGTTAACAATGAAGTTGCTGGAAGTATATTCTTCCCCAACTTTCCAAAGTGTTTGTTTTTGGGGGGGAACATCACAAATCTCTGCTAATGAGGTTGGTAAGATGCTTCCAAGTCTAGTGGGCTATCCTCAGTGTTTAGTAAGGATCAACACAGAGGGCTTAAGGGTCAAAGTGGGACACTGAGGAGTCAAACCAGAGCCCAACTAGAGACCAAAGTTGTTAGGAGGTCAGGACAAGACATGTTATAACATGGATTAGAATCAAGTTATAACTGCCAGACTAATGACTTCTCATCTACACCAGTTTACTCTAAAAATACTTTCTGTATTTTCTACCCCCCCCCAAGTAGAAGGAATAAATGCTTCAGCCCATTTGATTAAGTGAATTAGGGTAAGAATTAATTCCCTCTGAGATTATCTCAATTTATTCCTGTGTATATATGGGAATCTGGTCTTCATTTTTGTATTTTTGCCAGACTATTTGTGTATGTATTAAGGACTTTATTTTTTAAAAACTTATTCATGGGGGAGAATGGGAAGGACACTTAAATTTTTTTTCAGATGGAGATGATTGTGGAACGATTTTGTATCTAGAGAAAAGACTAGATTAGAAGTCAGAAAGTAGAGTATTATGGGCTATTCCTAAAGATATCTTCATGTAAATTTGAACAGAAACTGATTGTCACATCCAATCGTATAACTCTCTCTCCTTCAGGTTGAGGAAGTCTATGTTCAGTGGTTAGTGCAGACTATAGAATATGATCCAAATCAATACATCTGGGCAATTGTCTGGTTTCTAAGGTTCTAGAAATAAAGGACATAAAATAGTCTCTTAACAGTCCTCAGACTAAAATGAACAGACAAGGTTGTAAATTAAAAGTGTTGCTGAAAGACTACCGAGACAGTGGGAAAGACTGAAGAACCAGTAGGGCTCACTACCCAGCACCCTGGAATCGGCCACAGAGCTCACTTCCAATATATAAAACCTGATAAAGGAATCAATTCCTTTAAGATCCTACCTTATTGGTTCCTAAATTAAAACTATCTGCATTGAACCTTTATTCTTACAAAAGATTCCAACAATTGCAACTGTGGTTGCAAGGCTATCGTAGACTTTAGAATTTTAATATCTTTAATATCTAATGTCAATATCAGATTGACATTAAGAGCACATTTATTTAGCTTTATGTGGACAGCATATCTCTTATCTGGTATACCTCATACCTGGTATCTTTTATTAGTTGATTTACCCTTGAAAACTGTACACAGGAACCTTCTATTAGTGAAGGTGGAAAGATGGTGATATGTATTCAGTAAGTCCCCACAATGGATTATTTATTCCCACAAACAATGATGTTCCAGGGATATAAGTGGGAAACAGCCATTGCATGGTATCAATAATGAGTAGCATCTGCTATGTGCCAGGCATTGTGCTAAAGGCATCTACAAATCTCATTTCAATAGCATGTGCATAGGAGCAAGGGGAGGGGGTGGCAATGATTAAAGTGATCCAAGGTTGAGGCTTGGCTGGACTTAAGTAGCAATATGATAAAGGAGCTGGGTATTCAATATACAGTTGAATTGGCTCACCAAGGGTCAAGATAGGAAAAAAAGGTGATTAGTGCAGGGGAGGTGATTTGGGAGAGAATTGATGGGTCAAGGGATTGTAGGTCATAGTGTGGATAAAGAGGAGGGTTTTGTAAGGGAAGGCAGAGGAAGAGGTGAAAAGTCAATAGGTTATGTTTAGACATGGGAATTTTGGAATTTTTGAACATAGAGGTATGTTTGTGGGTGATAGCAAGATCAATGATTTGACAATCTTTGTGTCTAGGTAAGGTGGAAGAATAGCTCATGGGAAGTGAGTAGGTTGAGGAATTGGATAGTTAGGTTGTTTGAAGTAGTCTATATGTATGTTGAAATCCCCTAGTATGAGAGCAGGAGTTGAAGGAATCCTTCCTAATTTTTCATTACCCTTTTATTGCTGTGCATTTTCCTTGTTCAATTCATCACTGCATACTCCTATTAAGTTCAAACCAGGGCTACCTTCTATAGAAAACTACATATTGGTTAATAATTCCATTGGTTCAGTTGTCTTTTGTCTTCCTCTTTTCTCTGGGCTTCGAGCAGCTAAGTGGTGAAGTGGATAGAGTACTGGATTTGGATTCAAGAAGACCTAAGTTAAAATCCAGCTTCAGACGTTTTATTAGTTGGGTGACCCTGGGTAAGTTATTGGCCTTAGTTTCTTCATGTGTAAAATGGGGTTAACAATAGCATCAACCTCTTTGGGTTACTGTGAGGATAAAATGAGATATTTGTAAAGGTACTTTGCAAACTTTAAAGTTCTATGTAAATACTGGCTACTATTAATAATTTCCTGAGTTCATATCTTGACATAGTTGCTGCTGTTTGTTTTCTAAGAGGCTCAATGATATCAAGGGGTGATGTCTCGCTGGTGAATTGGATTTAAGTGAGGCAGAGTTGTGCAAAGTTGGCAGCCTCCCTCTCTAAGTCATTGAAGTTCAGTGCTAGTGGCCCTGACATAGTAATTTTGGCCCGCTTTCACTCCTCCTTCATTATGTTTCATCAACATCTATCTTTCAGTCCTTGATACTATCCAAAGCATCTTCAATAGCATCTCTGTTTCAGAGACGGTTTCTTAGTGTTTGTAAATTCAGAGGTCAACAACCATTTTGCATAAGCTTAGTGCTTTAATGCCTCCAGCAGGAAGGAAAATGTAGCGATTTTAGACACTACTGTGTATCAGCAATTAGATAAACTGGGAAATCAAAATTGGAAGTCCCAGAAAAAGATTTCCCCATAATTTAGGAGGAATGAGGATGAGGCTAGATGTAACTTAAGTACTGTTGAAAGTCTGAACACAGCTGTGCTCCAATTTGTTTGGCCACCTTCTAAATAGCTGGAAAGTTTTATTTCTTTTGAATGATGTGTGAGATCTTAGTAGGAAACAAGCCACTGGGGAAAAGTCTATAGTTGAACAGAGGATATCACTTGCTTCCTTTGCTTATTCTAATGTGCCCCTTCCATATCCCACCCCCGTTTTTTGTTGACAAAAAATCTCCCAACACTGTTATTGAAATATTTGAATGTGAGTTCTCTGAAGGCATGCCCCTTTAAGCCCCCAGCTTACTCAATACAAGGTACTCTGCCTTTCTCCTCTGCTTCCCCATTGGTGTACATTTTGCTCTGTCTCCCAAAGGTTCCCCCTGGAACTTGACTATTAGCAAGGAGTCTATCTAAGAGCCACAGGGAGTTTCAGGACATGTCTAAGGAGTATGGAGTGAAAGTATCATTCCTTTGTAGACTCCATACAGAACTAAGGACAGTTCTAGTATCTTTTTGTGCTTTTTCATTTCTTTATCCCCCAGCCTTTCTCCCAATCCAAGTCTCTGTCATAATTTAAAAGACAACTTCATCTTCCTTATACTTTTAAAGCAAAAAGACGCACATTAGATATTTTTAGTAACTATCAAACTCTAGGTAAAGACTAGAGTACCTATGACTTGGTGGACAAAACACTGAATTGGTATAGATTAGTTTGCACCAGTTTAAATAAAGAAGGGATGGATAAACTTCCATCCTCAAGGAAATTAAACAGCTATGAAAGCTTCTCATCTGTCTTTTCCTCTTCCTCCTTTAGGATGAAGGAAAACATAAGAGGAGGAGGCAGGATGAGCAACAGACATTTTACCTTTGTCACTACTCTGAAGACTGAGGAGTTTGTCCTAAAGCCTGAATATGTGTACTTTAAGAGGTGTGAACCTAGAGCTTACTAGTTGTGCCCCAAAATGAAATTCTGGGTAAGTAACATGCCTTCTCAGACAATGCTTGAGTCCTAGAAGTAGCTACAAACCCCAAAAGAGATTGCAGAGCTTATCTTACTGACAAGCAAGAAGACAATAGTTGTCCCCCAAAGCTTCACCTTATTGGGTCCCTACATAGAAACGTGTCTTCACAGAAATGCTTTGCCTCATCCTACAGCTAGGAGAGGCGGGTAATGATAACAGCTGGTTAGAGGTGACAGCCTGTGCCTCATTACCATCCTTGACTTAGCACTAGGGGAAAACCTAGAACAACATAGTTCTGTGAGATGTGCTGTGATTAATCTTCATGTCTACTAGCACATCTTCCTTATTTGTACCGGGATAGGACAAGGACAGACTACAGAACAAAGAATGAAGCATGTTTGGAGTAGAGATATGAACACTGCACAATCTGCTTGCACAATCATTTTAAACCAGCCAGAAGGTCTAGGCTGTCTTCTTTACCATCGTCATCCCTTTAGTGGTGGGATTGCTCTTTAATTCTCTGGTTTGTTGTTATCAGATATCTGTGGAGTTGCAAGTGATGGTTTAAAAAAAAAAAACTACGAAAGCCTTATCGCCAACATCCCCCAGATAAACTTGCTTAGATAAAAATCCAATATGCCAGGGTCCCAATATGTCTGGGTTCCTGAATGTTTTCTGGTTTAGTGTCTAGGGAAATTCCTTTCTTTCTCTTAAGAAGAAGATTATTCCAAGCAGTCCTACCCTAAACTGGGAAGGGAGCAGTTGGATCACTCTCAGCCACCTTGGCTTCCTTCCCATCAGACAATGGTCTAATTGGGAGGTCTTTCTGAAGAAGACCAATGACTATCTTCTCTCCTCTATGATATAATTCTAAGCTTTTCGCTGACCCCAAGAATACTAAAGACAAGAGTTCACATCTTGACGCACAAGGGCTGGTAGCTTTTATTTTTACCCTTTTAACTTGTCTACCAGAGGTAGGAAAGATGTAACATTTAATTCTCTTGTGTTATGTGAGTTACCTTTTTTTTCCTTTGATTCACTAACACTTCAATGTTTTCCCAAAGCTTTACCCAAGATGTCTTTGGAAATGTCTGCATTTCTAACCATGGCTGAGTCCCTCCTTGACTTCTCATCCTTTCTATAATTTTTATCCTTTCATGAAAACACTTTTTTTTCCTACTGATGGTGGAGTTCATACTGTCCAGCTTACATTAAGGGGAAGATGTCCTTTGTTACATAAGTTGCTTAAGTGGGTTCAGTGTGAACTTGGCTCACTAACCCACCTCTCAGGCATATGTGTATAAATGTAAACATGGGCACCTTAGTGTTGGAAGGATATTCTAATAACAGGTTGCAATGGTGACCTTCAAAATGCTTCATGCCCTTTTCACCTTGTTTGTTCTCCTCTGAAGCTATTAATGCCTTGAAAGTCATTTTCCATGGACATTTTTTAGGTACCTATGGATTTCTCTGAATATCTTTTTTTCTGGTTGGATGGATGTTTGATGTCTTAGTTTCTGAGAACATTCTGGGAACTTCATTGAAATTCAGTACCTGAACTCCATCCTACCTTTATATTATCTCTAGGCAACTTTTTCTATTGATTTCAAGAGTGCTGGTCAGTGAACCTCTTGACATGGCATCTGGTCTGAATTCCTAGTCCTTTCCTTTTTTTCCCCTAGGCATAGTTTGAAGCTTCAGCATTCCTTTTATACTTTTACCTAAGCCTGAAGACTGTAGCTGGGTCTCTTAAAAGGACCAAACTGATTTATAGGAAGTTGGTCAGGTGGTACATAATCTAGAAATCTAGATAAGTCCCATACTTCTGGCAACACTAATCACAGGACATAAATGTTTAGCCATTGTCATGAGGGATGTTATTCCTGATATTGGCAATGAAGATGCCATTTTCAGGTTTTGTATTTACCTTTCTATTGGGCTTGGCACCAGGAGTAACACTAAAAATTGACCTTAAATTTTGTCACCTTATCATCTGCTTTAGTTTAATGGTTTGTATTCAACCCTCCATGTCTGAAGACAAAAGCAGATCAGCCACCTCGGGTCATACTTTGGAGAGATCATCACAATATCTTGGACAGAGAATGCTTAATCGTCATGATGGCTGATTTATTTTTTTCAATTCCTCTCCTCCTTTGCCCTGACACTGTCCCTAGAGAAGAGTGATTTCAAGTCTTCACTGCTTCCTCAACATTTTTCTTACTATGTATTTACATTCTGTCAGAATTCATAGTTCTTCTTTGGGGGAGGGGTGTCAAAAGGATAGGATTTACATTTTATTGTCACTTACAATCAAATGTTATTTGGATACATACTCTTGTTATACTTGATCTCTTTTTGGAAATAGGAAAAAAATATAAATTATGTAATTCAATAGTTGACAGTTCTTCACACTGTTCACAGGATCCACAATTACTTCAATTCACTAATAGTTGGTTTGAGCTTTTCCTTATTGGCTCCAGAAAATTCACCCACCTTTCTTTCCCCATTTTTATAGAACTGAAATATTGGCATGCATTTCACTTTACACTCTGCAGCAACATCCTGACAGTCATCTACATCCACTTCTATGAAGATCACATCTAGGTACTTTTCACCAAGTGAATGAAAGAAAGGCTTGATCATTTTGCAAGGTCCACACCATCTTTCAATTTTAAGTCAGTTTTTCTTGTTCTCAATCTGTTTCACTATTTTTTCTGAAGGCTCTGGAGGCACAGGCTGTGCTGAGAGCTCAGGCCAAGGCACAGGCTGGAGAGGGGCGCTTGTCCGGTTCTTTGGGTAGGGAGATAGGGATTTGGTTGATTTGAAGAGTCCAGGTAACTTGGGGGCTGGGTGACTTGGACTTGGTAGGAACCAGTGACGTGGGAGCCAAAGCTTTTCCAGTAGGTGCCTCTCTGCAGAAGATGCAAGAAAATGAATTCATAGTTTCTGTCAGGAAATGTAATCTACATCTTGAGTGTGTTCATTTCAGCAAACTCTGAGGGTAGATTTTATTCAACAGAATCATGGAACACTGTGCCACCCCTCCTCTTTAAAAAAAAAATTAAATTTCTTTCCATTTGTTAGGTTATCCTCATCTCCAGGAAGCAACATGGCATAATAGATTTTCATTTCATTGAATATCCCTTTTTTCCTCTGAAGGATTGTACTCATTTTTGCTGAGTAATGGATTCTTAGCTGTAATCCTACCTCCTTTACCTTTTAGAATATCATTCCAAGCCCTTCAATTCTTCAGTGCAGAAGCTGCTAAATCTTGTGTTATCCTGACTGGCTCAATGATACTTGTATTGTTTCTTTCTGACTACTTGCAATATTTTCTCCTTTTCCTGGGAGCTCTGAAATTTGGTTATAATATTCTTGGGAGTTTTCATTCTGGGATCTCTTTTAGGAGATGATTGATAGATTCTTTCAGTTTCTATTTTACCCTCTGGTTCTAGAATATCAGGGCAGTTTTCCTTAATTTCTTAAAAGATGAGGTCTAGGCTCTTTGAGGCTTTCAGGAGTCAAACAATTCTTAAATGATCTCTCCTGGATCTATTTTCCAGGTGAATTGTTTTTCCAATAAGATCTTCATGTTGTCTCCTATTTTCATTCTTTGAGAAATCAAGAAATTATAAAATAAAACCCAGTCATTGGCTTCCATTTGCTCCATTCTAATTTTTAAGGAATTATTTTCCTCAGTGAGCTTTTGGACCTCCTTTTCCATTTGGCTGATTCTGCTTTTTAAGGATTCTTCTCATTGGCTTTTTGGACCTCTTTTGCCATTAGGTCTAGTCTATTTTTAAGTGTTATTTTCTTCAGTATTTTTTTGCTTCGGGGGTGCACACTATTCTAAGCTTCAGGAGTTTTGTGCAGCTGTTTACTTTTCAGTTCTTAGTGACATGGTATTAGGAGAATGTGTTTACTACTCTTCTGACCTGTGCTCTAGTCTATAAGTGACCACAAGCATTCTTTTCTGCCCTGGAATTGTGATGAGGGTACTTGGTCCTCTGTGACTGTGAGCTCTGGTATGTTACTGCTCCTGCTACTCCTGGGACTGCCCTTCCCCCTCCAGGAATGTGACCTGGATCTGAGTATGAACAAAACAGTCCTGCCCCTCGTGCCAGCAAAGGGGGACACCTGTAATCTTCTGACCAGTTGTTCTACCTCTTACATCTGTGGGCTGAGAGCTCCAAAAACAGCAGCAGCAGCTACTGGCTTAGTTACTCCCAAGGCCTGCTCCTGGTTTGCTATAGCCTCGCCTGCACTGAACTGTGCTCCACTCTTACCCAGATGCAGCAGACCTTTTTTGCCAACCTAAGTTGTCTTGGGCCAGAAAATTATTTCACCCTGTCTTCTTGTGGATTCTGCCACTCCAGAATCTGTTTTGGGGCCTTATTTAAAGGTGTTTGGGAGAGAGCTAAGGCGAGATCCTGCCTTTTCTTTGCCATCTTAGCTCCCAGCAATATTTCTTACAAAGTTTCATTTTTTCCCTATTAAAAAAATCTGTAACCTTGCTTATTACCAAAAGTATAAAAATGTGCGAAATATTGAAATTGCTTTCCCCCTCCCTCACAGCACCATTATACAGAATAGAGAATTATCAACTGTACAATGATAGTCTTAGATGAAGAAATCTCCAAATAACTCTCAGACACATAGTGGTTTGTTTCTTCTCACAAAAGCTTTCAAAAATAAAGACCAAAAAAAAAATCCAATAACAAATGGCAGGAAAATTTGATGGATTTAAAAATATATATATAATACACATCATCAACTCACATTTTGCAGAAAAAGTTATGGATAGGTTTTCTTTTATAAAACATGTTTTTCAGTGTCAGAAAGGAAATTAAGGCCATTAGGCATCTAGCCTTAAAGGCTATACACATAAAGGAAATATAAAATATTTGTGCTTCTGGGAAGGTTTTATGTAGATAAGGATTACAGTAGTTTCTTAGTTTGAGAAAGATATTTGAATAGTTTACATAATTGCACAGCTCCTGTCTCCCTGCTGG